ACCTTCACCTCCTTCTTCAGCTGTGCCTGCAGGTAGGGGGAGCGCGCGGCGCCGCCCCCTGCCGGGCTGCCGTAGCGCAGCTCCCGGCCCAGCTCCGTCCTGCCCGCTGCCGCCTCCTCATGTGCCAGGGCTGCCGGGGGCTTGGGGGGCGCTGGGGAAGCTCGCAGGGGGTGCCGGGAGAAGATCGTATCCCTATGGGGGGGAAGGAAGCTGCAATTAAAATCTGAGGCGCTCCATGGCACCCCCCCCAACTGAGATTAATGGGTGCCAGGCACTATATGAACCCCCCAGGCTGAGAGTGGGGGGTGCTGGGCGCTGTGCAGGCCCCCCCAGAATAAGAGTAGGGGGCACCATGTGCTGCATGCACCCTCCAGGCTGAGGTCAGGGGGCGCCGTGCAAAACCCCCCTGGCCGAGATTGGGTGATGCCAGGCGCTGTACGGACCCTCCATGCCAAGAGCGGGAGGTGCCGGGCACTGTACAGACCCCCCAGGCTGAGATCGGGGGCGCCAAGTGCTATACAGACACCCCCGATCAAGACTGGGGACACCGAGTGCTGTAGGGACCCCCAGGCTGCGATCAGGGGCGTCAGGCGCTGTGCAGACTCTCCTGAGATCGGGGGTGCTGGGCACCGTGCAGACCCCCCAGGCTGAGACTGGGGGCAGCTGCGCGCAGGCGGGGTTGGGGACCGCAGCCTCCCTCCCGGCCCCCCCTCACCTGTCCTTCTCGTCCTTGATGGCGGGCACCTCGCGCTTCTCGGGCTCCTTGTCGTGGGGGCGGTCGGGGCCGTCGCCAGCGGCCTTGGGCCAGGCAGGGGCAGTGGGGAAGGAGGGCGGCGTGCGGTGGAGCCGGCTCCAGGGGTCGTGGGCAGGGCCGTAGGCCACAGCCCTCTCTTTTCCAGCTCCACCTTCTTTCCACTACAGCTGGCCCCGCCCCTTAAGATCAGGCCCCACCCCTTGTCAAGTACCATCCTACTGAATGCGTCAGTGGCTCTGCCCACTCCTGGGCAGGAGATAGCTCCGCCCTCTCTTCCCTAAGCTCCACCCCCAGAGCATTCCACTCTCCAGTCCTATCCTTTCCACTTCCCCTCACCTAAGGAAACTCCGCCTACTCTCTGGGAGAGACTGCCCCCCTGCCACAAGCCCCACCCACTCTCTGAAAGAGTTCTGGCCTCCACTGACAAGCCCCACCCCTCTCCCTCTTAGGCCCCACCTCCATGACCCCCATAGACTCCACCCACTCCACCACAGCCCCACTCCATAAGCCCCACTCCCTACACAATCCCCAAGTGACCTCAGAGCATCCACCCACACCAGCACAGCCCCCTTCCCTATAAGCCACACCCCCAGGGCTCCACCCATGTGATGGAGGCAGGGCTTGATTTGCATAACTCTACCCCCAGACTCACTGAAGGTGGGGTTCCCTAGGCCCCCAAAGGCCCCATTGGACAGTGCTCCCAGGGCCGAGAAGCTGGCTGGTCGGCTGAAGGGGTCTGCAAGGCAAGGGCTAGGGGTCAGAGTGGGGGCGCAGCCTCCAGGGCCCCGCCCCCCAGTCCCACCCCCTCCCAGGCTCTTACCGATGTGTGCGCTGGGGCCCAGGAAGGCGCCAGGAGGGGCACCGGGGGGCCCAAAGTGGGTGGCGGAGCCCGGGTGGACAGCACCTGTGGAGGCCAGAGGGAGGGGTTAGGTGGGCTGAATGGGCATGGGGTGGGTTGCAAAGGGCAAAGGTCAAAAGGCACTGACCTGCAGGGGTGAAGAGGGTGGCTGGGCGGGTGAGTTCAGGGCCATGCGCCAGGGTCCCAAAGGCCCCAGTGCCCGGCAGGCAGGTGATGAGGTCGTTCCGGAAATCCAGCTTGTGGGGGTCGCCCTGCATGAGCTGGGGGAGAGACCCCCTCAGCCATGCCTGGACCCCGAGGCAGAGATTGGGGGGGGGTGCCAGGCATTGTAAGGACCCCCAGGCTGGGATCGGAGTGCCCTGGGCACTGTACAGGCACCCCAGGCTGAGAGTGAGGGAGGGCTGGGCACTCTGTGGACCCCCAGGCCAAGATCGGGGGGTATTGGACGCTTTACAGCTGAGATCAAGAGGTGCCGGGCAATGTATGGACCCCCTAGGCTGAAATTGGGGAGTGCCAGGTGCTCTATGGACCCCCCCCCCAGGCTGAGATTGGGGGGTTCCAGGCACTATATGTACCCCCAGGCTGTGGTCAGGGGGTGTCAGGCACCCCCTGGAGCTCCTAGGCTGAGATCGGGGGGCACTGGGTGCTGTATGGGCCTCCCCAGGCTGATCTTGGGGGACGCTAGGCACTGTGTGGACCCCCCAGGCTGAGATCAGGGGGCGCTGGGCACCGTACAGACCTCCTCCCACACTGGGATAAGGGCCAGGCAGACTCTACCTTAAGCTTCTCCTGGTGTCGAAGGATCATGTAGGCCACACGGACGTGCATGGCACACCACTTGCCCGACTTCTGCAAGGGGGGCAGAGAGGGGGGAGTCTCAGTTTGGGTAGCTGGATCCCCTCAGCCCCCCTCCCCTCCCCTCCCAGGGAACCCAGGCAATCGGCCTGCCAGCCCCCCATGGAGCAACTCACCCGCAGTGTGGGCCTGAAGGGGTCCGTGAGCTGCAGGAAAACAGAAGGGGGGTCAGTGCGCCCACCAGGACCCCCCAAATCCCCCAGGCCCCCACTCACCTGCGCTCCCTTCTGGGACAGGCTGGGGGCGACGGTGCCCAGGCGTGAGGGCAGCTCCGGGTTAGTGCTCTGCAGGGAGATGGGCGGCCCACTGGAGGGGAGAACCCCGGTGTCCGGGCTCCCAGCCCTCCTGCTCTCACCCCCCACACCCAAGAACCCAGGTATCTGGGTCCCAGTCCCCCCACTCCCCTCCCAGAGAACCCAGGCATCTGGGCTCCCCGGCCCCCTGCTCCCACCCACCCTCCCTGAGAACCCAGGTGTCTGGCTCCCAACCATGCTCCTGCCCCCTGGCCCCATCACTGGGACTCACCTTGGGTTGGAAGGCCCCCTGCAAGGACCCAAAGGACACGGTGGGGGGCAGGACAGGTGGGATCCCAGGCATGGCCGAGGGGAAGGTAGCATAGAACTGGGGTGGGGGGAGAGAGGGAGGGGGAAATGTCACTGCTGGGAGCAACACCCCCCACCCCACTGAAACCTGGCTCTGAGACATGACCCGTCCTCTGTTAGAGCCCGGCTCCAGGGACATGGCTCTGAGACATGCCTCCGTCACTCGCTAGAGCCCAGTCTCGGACATGGCCCAGAGACATGGCCCATCCCTTCGTGTCCTGGACCCCGGGTCCAGGAACATGGCCCTGACACATGGCTCCATCCCCTGGCTAGAGCCCAGTCTCGGGGACCTGGGCCTGAGACACAGCCCATACTGCACTCAGTCCCTGGGGACACAGCTCCAGCCCCTGCTAGCCCAGGCTTGCGGCCCTGAGATGCAGCCCATCCCGTGCTAGAGCCCGACCCTGGGGACACGGCTCCAGTCCCCTCTTAAAACCTGATCTCTCAACCCTGAGACACAGCCCGTCCCGTGCTACAGCCCAGCCCCAGGGATGTGGGCCTGAGACATGGCTCCATCCCTCGCTAGAGCCCAATCTCCCAGCCTCAAGACACGGCCCGGCCTTGGGGACACAGTCCGATGACATGGCTCCATCCCCCGCTAGAGCCCACCTCGGGGACCCGGCCACAGCCGGGGCACTCACGTTATGCCGTAGCAGCCCATCGATCTTGCCTGGGTATTTTTCAAACTGCGGAGAGACAATGCGCAAGAGATCAGGGGCCTCTGAGCAACTGGGAGAAGGAAACCACCCTCTGCCTCCCGAGTGGCAGCTACTATGCGGCCAGCTCTGGGGCAGAGCGGGCGGGCAACAGCCGAGTGGAACATGGCGTGAGGCCCTGCCTATGCCCACCCCCAGAGGCAGCCTGTCAGACTCTGACCTCCCCAGACCTGGGAGAAAACCCCCCTGCTCTCACCCCCCCAGCCCCGATCCCCTCTGGAAAAACCCAGCCTAGCCCTCCCTCCATGCACTCTACTATGCGGCCAGCTCTGGGGCAGAGCGGGCGGGCAACAGCCGAGTGGAACATGGCGTGAGGCCCTGCCTATGCCCACCCCCAGAGGCAGCCTGTCAGACTCTGACCTCCCCAGACCTGGGAGAAAACCCCCCTGCTCTCACCCCCCCAGCCCCGATCCCCTCTGGAAAAACCCAGCCTAGCCCTCCCTCCATGCACTCACCATGGCGGGGGCAGGGGCGGGAGCGGGCACCACGCCAGGCGGGAAGGGGGTGAAGTGCTGGTGCGTGTGCTGGTGCGTGTGCTGGTGCTGGTGGTTGTGCTGGTGGAACTGGAAGGCCAGGGGCCG